GCAAAAATTAAAAAAATTAAAAAAGTAAATGGGCCTAGATATTTGTATTTTGGGCCTAATAAGTATGAGGCCCAATTTAAGGTAGGATGGTTGTGCAAGGCCCAATCTGTAAGCCTTCCTTTCTTGGTCTCATCTCCTATGACTCTCTCTCTTCGAGTTTTGCTTCGAAGGATCGAAAGGCGCTCTGTTACTTCTCCAAACTGCAAAATACCACACTGATCCAGGTAATTCTACCTCCTTCACCGAGCTAATTTATATGCATTTTCAAATCACGAGCTATTTCCAAGATAGCTTCAAATTATTTCGGACGCGAAAACGAAGCAAAATCCTAACACATATAACATTACACTGTTTTTTTCTTTCACTTTCCCGCGTTTTCTCGGTAACCAAACGGAGCATTATGCTATTTCCTTGCTCTTAAAACTCGGAATATAATAATTAAGTTTTCGGTCAACTATTTTCTTGCGTTTGTTATCTTTTACAGGTTTCTACTCTAGAACGGTTTTCTCTCTTTCTATTGACGGCTGAGTTATATGCTTCTAGGGTTTCCGAGATTCTTCCCTAATTTGAGAATCGTTTGAAGAATTGAGTGACGCTCAGTTGGTGTAAGCTCCGGTATTATTGTAGAAACAGTGAGATTTGAGCTGGGTCAAGAGAATGAACTGTAAGAGGGAACATGACGATGATGCTAGAGTGAACGCGGAAGGGTTTGAATCTGACCCAAAGAGGCAAAAATGGAATGGGCATTCATCTCCTTCCTCTTCACCACCTCCACCTGCCTCTGAAGGCTCCCTTCTTCCTGGTTTTAATTACGGCGATGAGGATGACGAGGACAACCAGAGAAGGCCACCTGTTGATGGCTATAGAGGGGATGGTGGTGATAATCAAAGGGATATAAAAAGTGGGGCTGAAGTTGAAGAAGAAGAAGAAGATGATGATGATGATGATCTTGAACAAGGACTTTACAGGCGGAGCCGTGAAATTGAGGTTAGGAGGGATTGTCCATATCTTGACGCTGTTAATCGCCAGGTATATTACTATTCTAAGTTGTTACAATATGGCATTCCAGCTTGTCTGTATATTATGCTTACAAAATCATCCACTGTATTGATACTGATTGCTTGATTTTGCTTTCTCCAGGTTTTGGATTTTGATTTTGAGAAGTTTTGTTCTCTGTCTCTGTCAAATTTGAATGTGTATGCATGTTTAGTTTGTGGGAAGTATTACCAAGGAAGAGGGAAGAAGTCCCATGCATATACACATAGCCTTGAAGCTGGACACCATGTTTATATCAATCTTCGAACGGAGAAAGTATATTGCCTTCCGGATGGATATGAAATCAGTGACCCGTCATTGGATGACATTAGACATGTCCTGAACCCAAGGTTTGATTTATATTGTTTATATTTCTAGTCTTCCTTGGGTATCCTTTTAAGGATTTGAATTCATTTGGTTCTCTATATGCAGGTTTACTGAGGAACAAGTTGAGCAGATTGACAAAAACAAGCAATGGTCTAGGGCACTTGATGGTTCTGATTACCTTCCTGGAATGGTACTGATTTTTGTTCTTACTTGGACAAGATTCCATATATGCTTCTATTGCTGCTGTTGTCAATTCATATGAGTTCGATATTATGTTTCAAATTCCTAATTGGCTTGGTCAAATTCCTAATTGGCTTGGTCTATACTATAGATTTCCTATTTAAGTTACTTGGGATAGAAGAATCTTTATTCCTTGCCAAATAAGTAATGAGCTATTTTGAACCTATTATGTGGCTGGCCAACAATTAGACTTACGATAGAGTTGATAGACTTGTATGGGAGTATACCAGTAAGCATGATTTCAGCGCTTAGGTAATATGGTTTTTGGTTTACTGCAGTATTCTCACGTCTTTGTAATTCTCTATGTTTTGTTAGATTCTTTCTCATCTGTAAGGTTAGACAAGCCTATGTTGAACCACATTAAGTACTGGTCTTTTCATGTGTGCGAGGGAGATATATTTTGTGATTGATCTCTCTGATGGATATGCTTCCATAACAACTTACGTCTTAACAATTTCTAGCGAGGTGTTAATTTTGGGTCCTAATTATTGTTACCTGTGTTTTCTTAATTTTCAAAAAACAGGTGGGGCTCAATAACATTAAGGAGACTGATTTTGTCAATGTGACAATTCAATCTTTAATGAGAGTCACTCCACTAAGAAACTTCTTCCTCATCCCTAAGAATTATCAACATTGCAAGTCTCCGCTTGTTCATCGATTTGGGGAGCTCACGAGAAAGATATGGCATGCACGGAACTTCAAAGGACAGGTTTGACCTTGTTGACTCATGTTTTGGTCTCTAGGTATTGTTGTTAAGAATAGTTCACATGTGTCAAATCTTTAATGTCTACAGGTGAGCCCACATGAGTTCCTGCAGGCAGTTATGAAAGCCAGTAAGAAACGGTTTCGAATAGGAGCGCAATCTGACCCAGTTGAATTCATGTCATGGCTGCTTAATACACTGCATGCAGATCTTAGAACTTCAAAGAAAGATAGCAGCATCATCTATGAGTGCTTTCAGGTTTTGTTTCTTATTCTTTATCTACTTTGTTCGTTGTATTGCTGTTGCTGCAACTTAACTTGCAGTATTTTTTAGACTAAATATAATGTTCTGTGCTGATAGGGGGAACTGGAGGTTGTGAAGGAGATTCCTAAGAAAGGTATTGAGAAGAAAGAAATTGGTGATGACCAGAATACAGATGTTGTGACTGAAAATAATGGCATTGTTAAGGAAAGGTACAAAATGCCTTTCTTAATGCTTGGATTGGATTTGCCCCCACCACCTCTTTTCAAAGATGTTATGGAAAAAAATATCATACCCCAGGTACATATGTCTAATTAGTGAGTTGGAAGTTCATTCTTTAATTGCCTTTTTTATTGGTTTTAATGTCTTTCTCATAATTTCCATGTCTATGTTTCTGAATAAAAACATGTTGGAATTTGCTTCAATTACATACATTGCCTCTATGTTCGCAACTTGTGGACTAGGTAACTAGATTGCTTTGGGGAGTCTATGTAATTATATATCTTAGGTAGTGACAAATGCGTAGACTGTTAAGATGGATATATTCCTTATTTTTATTAGTCTGTATGGAGGCTAGTTGATTTTTTATTATCGAAATATGGGGGGTTCAGTCTGTCTTTCTGCTTCTATTCTATAATGTATATAGTTACTCAAGGTCTAATTGCAAATTAGAAACATAGCAACTGTTCTTTGTTCCCAGCATTTTGGTTCTCCATTTTTCTTGAATATTAAACTGAGCCCTGAATGATGCAAAAGCATGCCCTTTACTTTATGCATCTCATCAGTCTTGCATTGTGCGCTGTTTAAATGTTTATAGCACACCTATGCTATCACTACACCTTATTCTAGAAATAGTATGTGAGGAAGAGAGAATTGATGATGAGAATTTTTTGAGTTTTGTTTTTAAAATGTTTTTAAATTATTTTTTAAAGCTTGTGCGTTATGGTTTAGGTTCCACTGTTCAATATTTTGAAGAAATTTGATGGGGAGACTGTGACTGAAGTGGTCCGACCTCGCATAGCAAGGATGAGGTATCGAGTCACCCGATTACCGCAGTATCTTATTCTCCACATGCAGCGATTTACCAAGAACAACTTCTTTGTGGAAAAGAATCCGACTTTAGGTGAGATTATATGTTTCTGGAATTATTTTTATTTGAATAATCATTTAAGGCCTATAGTGTGCCATGGATCCTTGCCTGATCAACTGCAACCTTTTGCCAACTGATGTAATTCCTATTGCAGTCAACTTTCCTGTGAAGAACCTTGAATTGAAAGACTACATCCCCTTGTCAACCCCCAAAGAGAATGAGAGATTGCGTTCAAAGTATGATTTGATTGCCAACATTGTTCATGATGGCAAACCTGGTGAAGGTTCATACAGGGTATTTGTACAGAGAAAGTCGGAAGAATTATGGTGAGTCTATTCCATACTTATTGGCATAAATGTAAACTAAGAGAAAATGGAACTGTATGTATGGGCTAACATCTGGAAATGTTTTCAGGTATGAGATGCAGGATCTTCATGTTTCAGAAACTCTTCCCCAGATGGTTGCCCTTTCTGAGACTTATATGCAGATATATGAGCAGCAGCAGTGAACTGGGATAGTTTCAGGTGCCATGGTTGACGGATTAGGTGGTTTTTAAGCCTATTATGGGAGTTGAGTGGTTTCATACCCGAGGAAAACAAGACGAGGGGAAACATTTTGAGGTGGCATTTGCCTGAGTTTGTGAGTTTTATGGTTCCATGGATTCTGTGACCAAATTTTGACAGTGAAGTAATTGATATTATATGTTTACCCAAAGAAAAAACCATCGGTACTGTAGAGTAGGCAGATGTAAAGTGCTGAAGGAATGTAGCAAACTGTTTGATAATGATCTCTGTTCTAAATGTCCAACCTATAATTTTTTTCTTCTTTTTTTTTTTCTTTTCGGTACTAGGATTGGGTTGATTATTCATTCATACAGCTTTTATCTGATTGCCATAAAATTCAATTGCTTTAGTCATGTGCTGTCTGCTGACAGAGTGCTGAGGGCTGACACTAACATTAGATTATTAATTAAACAAACATAATTTGCAAGTGGTGGTTGTTACAAGTTTAATAATTGCAAGACTTATTAGGACACATACGTTTGGTTTGATTAGCTCCCCATTTGACCTGGTTAATAAGTCAGTCCAAGTTCCAACCATGGGTGCCTGCCAGTGAAGGTACCACGTTTTCTTAGAACTTCCAGGGAGGATAATTTTGAACTTTGAATATTTCCCTATTAGAATAATTAAGGCCTACTTCCATCACTTTAATCCTTGGTGCTATTGGTGGCGACATCATGTTCTTTTCTGATAACTTTTATTTTTAAACACCTTTTTGAGACCTTGAAACCAAGTTGCATCAAAAGAAGAAAATAATTAAATTAAAAAGTAACGACTACTTTCATTAACTTAACTTGAGAATGTAGCCGATTGATTGAATACTTCTCTATCATGTTTTTGCATGTTCATTTAAAAAAGTGTTAAAGTTGTATGTAATGTAACTGTAAAATAATGTCAACAGCTACAACTACAAGTCTTCTGCTACGACCAGTTGCTTCTTCTTGTTGTGTTCATGGCTCTAGATGCAAAAGCACGACCGACATTCTTCAAAAACGCGCCAACAGCCGCGTACTCCCCAAGAGCCCTCACGTCAGCATTACACCGCAGCAGCGGAGGAAAGAAGAGCCAAAACACGGTGCCCGTCACGAACGCAACGGTCAAAGGCCCAGACACCAATCTCGGCACCTGAAACTTCTTCCGTTTAGCAATCGCCTTCTTCACGGCGATCTCAACCACCAAACACAGCCCGTGGAGGAGGAAGAACCACGAGATCTCCCACGTGGGCGGCAGCCGCCCCAGGTAGTAGAATATGAGCTCGTGCATAATCGCCGACACTATGAAGGTCCCCATCACGGCCGGGAGCGGGGCCCACCTGCGGCCCACCACCCGTGTCGAAAGCGCGACGACGGGTTCGTACACGGTGGGGCGCAGGATGCTGGTGACCATAATGTTCCATCGTCTGCCCCAGAAGTCTTGGAGGGAGGAGGAGAGGTAGGGCTCGTTGAATTGGGGCTCGAGCTCAAGTCCCAGAAGGGCTCGAGCCAGCGCGGCAGCCATGAGGAGGATGATTTCTAGGGCAAAATATATGTGGAAGCAATACATGACCCATATCAGGTTTGGATGGAGGTGCTCTTTGTAGTCATATACCTTTAGCAACAGAGCCAAGAGCAGGCCTTTGAGTGCGTAGTTGAACGGGGATTTCGGAGCTGGGTTTTGTTTTGTTGTTGCATGCCCATTTGTGGTTGAGTTGTGGCCATTTTGATGATTTGAGGTTTGGAATTGGGGTGTTTTTGGAGGTGGGTTTTGTTGGATCTTGATGGGTAAACAAGCGACGGCTAGAAAACGGGGAAGAGAGATTGAAGGGTCGGCGCACAGAGGGCCTTTCCCAAAGGCGAAGAGCAAGAGCTTGAAGTTGGCAAGCCAAGAAATGAAGAAAGCAGTGGTGCCTCCGAGATGGATGGTGGAGAGGTGAAGAGGAAGGTCTAGGAAGAGGGCTACAATTGGAATTATGAGCAAGAGTCTTGGAAAACCTTTTGGTACAAACTTACCAAATGCATAGCAGTAGAAGAGAGATAAGAAGACCGAGAGCCATACCTTAATGAAGTTTCCAATCTCACCCTCCATTTCCATTTCTGCCAAAATGAAACGATCTCTTAATATTTCTCCAAAAAGCTATTTTGGATCTTATTGAGGAAGGAAAACAATACAAAATTCATCAGCCAAAAACGACTACGAATCAGTACTATCTTTTGGCCAATTAGCTGAAGTTGTTTGACTTGACGCAATAATCTATGAATACCCTTGTGACCACGTGTCCTTTTTTATTCTTGTTCTCAGCTTAATGAATTAGTAATTCAATTGGGTGGTTATGGTTATGATTTTCATTGATTAAACTATTGGAATTGGAAGGAACACAGCGAGCGAGCGACTACATGGCTCAAATCGGTGTGAGAGATACTCATTTTTGGATGGTTGTTAAGTCTTTGGAATAATTTGGTAGATAGGAAAGGAAAGAATTAGCAGGATCCGGGAGTAGCTAGCAAGTAGAAATTGTTTTTGTTTGTGTACCAGAAACATGTGAATGTGAAGCACCCAGTTATTATATTTCCAAAGTAAATCTAAATCAAGAGGTGGAAATTTGGACCGCCTTCCAACTTTGAATCTTTGCATGGACTAGACAGTGAAAAAAAGAAATGTGGAGCCGTTGCTGGGATTTTATTAATCTCTTTGATTGTATGTATATATGTATGTATGTATATATGTATGTAGGACGATTGGGTCAGATTTGACCAACTCGAAGATCCCCTTTTGTTTGTGTCAAGTCAACTATGAATGAATGAGACATATGATCTGCTTGCTTCAAACTTCCAAGGTTGTACAGTGAATGAATGAGACCTCTAACGTGGCTTCTTTACAAAACAACACGTGTATTTTTTCTTCTTTCAACTCCTTTAACTTGGTTCTCTTTAACTTGGGTTAGTTTTAAGGAGGAAGAGACGACGGCGGGGCGGTGCCTTGGGCTTGGGTGGGCTACTACATGTAATATTATTATAAGAAATAGATATAATACATAGGTTAAAATATCAAAACGTTCTTCTTCCTCTCTCCGCCAGCTCGTTATCACCCAAATACTAACAATTTATAAGTACATATCGATCTCAAACTCAAAACCTCTCACAAATATCTCTCACCACAAACACAATTAGGAAATCAAATTTAAGCAAGCAAAGAAAAATGGAAGGAGAAATACCCAACTTCATCATGGTATGGATCTTAGCCGTGGCTTCACTGTCCTACTGTCACACCATAGGTAAGCTCACTTCTCCTGGTTTAACCAGGCTCCTTGCCATACTTCCAGTCATATCTTTCTTCTTCTTCCTTCCTCTCAATCTCACCACCATTTTCCTTGGAGGCCCTTCCTCTTTCTTTCTTGCCTGGCTTGCCAACTTCAAGCTCCTCCTCTTCGCCTATGGCAAAGGCCCTCTCTCCACCACCCCACCCATCTGCATCTCCCATTTCATCCCCTTGGCTTGCCTTCCAATCAAATTCCGAAAAGTTGAGAACAAAATAAAATCAGGGTCTTCAGCATCTCCCCCAAAAGGCCAGAAATCTCCTTTTAACTATGCGATCAAAGCTCTAATCTTTGCCACATCTTTACATGTTTTCCACAACAAACAATATATCCACCCAAAAATCATACTCTTCCTCTACTCAATCTACATGTACACTGGCCTTGAACTTGTCATGGCATTAGTTGCTTCCTTGGCTCGAGCCTTCCTCGGTGTCGATTTCGAGCCGCAGTTCGACGAGCCTTACCTGGCCACGTCACTCCAGGACTTCTGGGGACGAAGGTGGAACATCATGGTCAGTAGAATCCTGCACCCTACCGTATACGACCCCGTCCGGAGCATCTCCAGACGCGTGATCGGGAAAAGGTGGGCCCCGCTTCCAGCTGTGCTCGCTTCTTTTTTGGTGTCGGCGGTGATGCATGAGCTGATCTTCTATTACATTGGACGAACCAAGCCCACGTGGGAGCTCACGTGCTTCTTTCTCCTCCACGGGGTGTGTTTGGCCGTTGAGATTATGCTCAAGCAGGCGTTCGTGGGTAAATGGCGGTTGCCTGCCGCCGTGTCGGGGCCTTTAGCAATGACGTTTGTGGCGGTGACGGGGGTGTGGCTGTTTTTGCCGTCTCTGTTGGTGCGGTGTGAAGCGGACGTGATGGCATACAGAGATTATCTGGCTTTCACCGAGTTTATGAAAAATGTTAGCAACTTTGTTAAAGCCAATTCGCTCTTAAATCAGTAGAGTATTGCGCTTTCATTATTGTAGGGGATTAATTAGTAGAGTATTACACTGAGAAATAATCCCAGTCTTATTAAATGAAAAAAGATCCAAATTGCAAATTAAACTTTACGTTATTTGTATTGTGTGCATCAATCAAAGTCGTCTAAATTTATTTTCATACCATTTTCTTCCCATATCATATGCAATTGCTTCCAACACCACGGTCCACGCATGCATAATACATTTATAGAACACAAGTTTTGCTATTGGATTTGGAGTATAAGTTGCCAAAATTAATTTTATTGTTTGTTTTTGTGACACCAAAGAGTCGTAAAAGGAAAAGATACTGTAATAATAACCACACGAAAACAAAACAAAATTTAACCTTTTGCCGGGACAACAGGAACACTACTTCCCACACAACTAGTTCGCACATGACCACCACTTTTGCCAGGCCAACATGAACACTACTTCCCTCCTCCTTTTTTTAGCATAAAAATAAGGTACTTCCTAACCAATAATGGCAAGTATTTCCTAACTAATAATGGCAAGGGGCAGGTATTAATGGTCCATGTCTTATGAGGCCCAACGTCAAGTCGAATGCAATTCCGTTAATATTTGGGTAACTGCCACAGCTAAGCCCATTCTGGTCCCACTGCTCTAAATTATGAGCCCACATACCCTTAAGGGCTACATGATATTGCGACCCAACAGTATAAATAAGCCCTTAAGGGTATGTGGGCTCATAATTGTTATTAGATGCAATGCCTTCCAGCAATTTTAAACCTGAGAATGAGGACGAAGAGCTTGATGAGAAGAAGATTTACAGAACCAATTATATGTTCAGTGCCACAATGCCGCCTGCTGTAGAGCGGCTTGCTAGGAAGTACTTGAGGAATCCTGTTGTGGTCAGGAGGATTGGCATGGCTAGAAAGACAACTGATTTGATCACTCAGAATGTTGTAAGTGTGAATATAGGTAAACAAACTTTTCAACGGAGGGCCCAACTTATTATGCAATGTGATGTTGTTTTAGTGGCTGAGACATCTTTGCCTACTGCTGGAACTGAAGAAGTGAGTTACTTTGAATGGGATTGTGCTTATCTATAATTTTGATTATGAATATTTCTACTCTACTGTAATTGGCAAATTGATGTCATGACTTTTTTCTTATGAAACAATGTTGTTAGTCCTAATGACTAGTTAGAACCAGTAAATTGTGTATAACGATATCAGTTGGGAATGTTTATTTTTGGGTACTGATTTTCCCACTCCTTTTTTATCCACTTATACTCCATTTTTCTAAACAAAAAGGAGTGTAGGTGGATAAAAGCGAAGTGGGGAAATCATTTTTCTTTTCTTTTTTCCCTTCATAAAAGTATCGCTTCTCTTATAATCAAAGCAAGACGTTTCTTCACATATAAAATAATAAGTTATTCAAAGCTGAAAAGTTATAAAAGAAGCGAGTGAAGAAAAAAAAAGATTATAGGAAAAATAAAAAACGAGAAGCGCCTCGTCGTAGCAAAAGACTTGTAGCTGTTGGACATTATTTTACAGCTACATTACATACAACTTTTAACACTTTTTTAAATGAACATGCAAACATGAGATAGAGAACTTTTATTTTAATTATTTTCTTCTTTTGATGCAAGTTGGTTTCAATGTTCTCAGAAAAGTGTAAACAAAAAAATGTTATCATAAAAGAACATGATAGCGCTGCGTCACTAATTGCAACAACAATGCATTATTGAATTATACCAAGAATTAAAGTGATGGAAGTATCCCTTAATTATTCTAAATTCTAATAGGGAAAAATTCCAAGTTCAAAATTCTCCTCCCTCAAAATCCTTAACCTCTTGTAATCCTTTTCAATTTATTTGAATAGAATTACATTGACCGAAAAAAAAAAAAAAAAAAATACGTGGTGCGTACCTTGACTGGCAGGCACCCATTGTTGGAACTTGGACTGACTAATTAACTAGATCAATTGGGAAGCTAATCAAACTAAGCTTACATGTCCTATCTAATTAATCCAATTGTTTTCTTTAAGTATTTTTGTCCTCCATTAATTCTTTATCCAACCGATTATCTGTCTTTCTTTTTTGCTTCAAAAATGAATTAAAACAATTTGTCATCATTTACAATGGGTGTTAATATAATTGGTTTCTAGCAATTAATAACACATACCCTACAACTTTATCCTGTTTATGGAATTCAACTTGTTTTCGACCACGAGTCACTCCAGGCAGCCCTTTTGCAATCACCCCTTTTGCAAGACCCTCTCTCTCTCTCTATAAATACATCGATCTCAAACTCAAAACCTCTCACAAATATCTCTCACCACCACAAACACAATTAAGAAATCAAATTTAAGCAAGCAAAGAAAAATGGAAGGAGAAATACCCAACTTCATCATGGTATGGATCTTAGCCGTGGCTTCACTGTCCTACTGTCACACCATAGGTAAGCTCACTTCTCCTGGTTTAACCAGGCTCCTTGCCATACTTCCAGTCATATCTTTCTTCTTCTTCCTTCCTCTCAATCTCACCACCATTTTCCTTGGAGGCCCTTCCTCTTTCTTTCTTGCTTGGCTTGCCAACTTCAAGCTCCTCCTCTTCGCCTATGGCAAAGGGCCTCTCTCCACCACCCCACCCATCTGCATCTCCCATTTCATCCCCTTGGCTTGCCTTCCAATCAAATTCCGAAAAGTTGAGAACAAAATAAAATCAGGGTCTTCAGCATCTCCCCCAAAAGGCCAGAAATCTCCTTTTAACTATGCGATCAAAGCTCTAATCTTTGCCACATCTCTACACGTTTTCCACAACAAACAATATATCCACCCAAAAATCATACTCTTCCTCTACTCAATCTACATGTACACTGGCCTTGAACTTGTCCTGGCTTTGGTTGCTTCCTTGGCTCAAGCCTTCCTCGGCGTCGATTTCGAGCCGCAGTTCGACGAGCCTTACCTGGCCACGTCACTCCAAGACTTCTGGGGACGAAGGTGGAACATCATGGTCAGTAGAGTCCTGCACCCTACCGTATACGACCCCATCCGGAGCATCTCCAGCAGCGTTATCGGGAACAGGTGGGCCCCGCTTCCAGCTGTGCTCGCTTCCTTTTTGGTGTCGGCGGTGATGCATGAGCTTATCTTCTATTACATTGGACGAACCATGCCCACGTGGGAGCTCACGTGCTTCTTTCTACTCCACGGGGTGTGTTTGGCCGTTGAGATTATGCTCAAGCAGGCGTTTGACGGTAAATGGAGGTTGCCTGCCGCCGTGTCAGGGCCGTTAGCAATGACGTTTGTGGTGGTGACGGGGCTGTGGCTGTTTTTGCCGTCTCTGTTGGTGCGGTGTGAAGCGGACGTGATGGCATACAGAGAATATGTGGCTTTCACCGAGTTTATGAAAAATGTTAGCAACTTTGTTAAACCCAATTCTCTCTTAATTAAGCGTAGTTGGTAAATACTAAATGAGTAGAGTATTGTAGGGGATTAATTACAGAGCAATAATCCCAGTCTTATTAAATAAAAAAAAGATCCAAATTGCAAATTAAACTTTACGTTATTTGTGTTGTGTGCATCAATCAAAGTCAGTCAAGTTTTCTTTTGATATCATATTCTTCCCGTGGCTACTTTTGCATGGTGGACCAGAACATTTAATTTGAAGCTTCGCGCACTTTAGTGTTGTCCAAATCATAAAGTTGTCTCTGCTTTTGATTTTTTTTTTTGTCGTGATGGAATGATGCTAGTAAATTCACGTGTTAGACTCTGCTGGTCTAGTCTAATAGTAATCATTATTATTTATTTATGCTTCTAAATTTGATTTAACAACTCTAATTGTGGTTTCGTCAAAGAGCCACAAGAAATAACTGCAGTCGCTCGCTACTCTTTTGAATTCAGACTTTTACGAGACAAGCATTTTCAACTCAACAAAATGATGTTCGTGGACTAAAAAGGGAAAAACCAAAAAGTGGATGGATGTCAGTCAGAGTCAGGTATAGAAATTAAAGTATTAGAGCTTGACGTTGAATTTTCAACCCATATGCAATTGCTTCCAACACCACGCGTGCATAATAAGTTAACCCATATGCCATGCAACAACCATTGCTATTGGATTTGGAGTAGAAGTTGGCAAAATCAATTTAATTGTTTGTTTTTGTGACACCAAAGAGTCGTAAATGTAAAAGATACTCTAATAATAACCACACCAAACAAGAAAACAAAACAAAATTTAACCTTTTTCCGGACAACAGGAACACTACTTCCCACACAACAAGTTCGCACATGACCACCACTTTTGCCGGGCCAACATGTTTGAAAGGAAACATTCTTACTTCCAATAAATCTTAGCTTGATACATATATAAAATTAATTCATTAAAAACACGCATAAAAATCTTTACACACATATTAAACTGTGACTAATATAAAAGTAAGAGTTCCTAACCAATAATGGCAAGGGGATTAATGGTCCATGTGTTAAAGGGCCCAACGTCAAGCCGAATGCAATTCCTTTAATCTTGGGTAACTACCATAACTAAGCCCATTCTGGTCCCACTCCTCTAAATTCTGAGCCCACATACCCTGAAGGGCTACATGATACTGAGCCCACATACCCTGAAGGGTTAGTATTGATAAAAGTTACGCTGACGCGGCAGTAGCTTATTAGCTACTAAATCCCAATCTGTTTCATCCCCATCACAGCAAAACCAGAGCTTCGAGAGAGCCTCGGGCAACGTACAGCTTTGTTTGTTTTTGGAAGATAATCATATCATTCAAGGTAAGAAGAACCCTCCTTTTTTCTCTCTTGCTGTGTTTTATCTTTCATATTTTTATTTAGAATATGTTGAAGATCCAATTAGAGTTTGAGCTCATTGATATCCAATTGGATTCTGATCTGTAAAATTATGGTTTTGCAGATCAACTGATACTGTTTGCGGATTTAATTGCCTAAAGAAAAGGGTTGGAATCAAATAAGAGCGTAATGGGTTTTGTGGTTACAACTCTAATCTTTGCAATGGTGGGCGTAATTGCTTCCCTTATGGTCAGAATCTGCTGCGGTAGAGGCGCTTCGGCCAATTTGTATGTCTTACATGCTCTGCTACTTTGCTTTCTCTTCCATTTATTCCACAATGCAAAACCTTATCATATGAATTCAAAGCTTTTTTCTTTTTAATTTTGTTTCCAGTTGTTAATTCAATAATGGAGTGGAAGTAAATCTGAATGTTAATTTGGACATAGTTGATGATAGATATTTGGAGATTAGGGATGATCAGATCGAAACTGTTATAGTCTATATGCCGGTTAAGTTAATGGATAAAACACGTTTGTAGTCCGTTTAAGCGTATCCTCGATTTTGAGTGCCTCTCTTGTTGTTGCATCAAAACATTATGGGGAAAAATCTAACACATGGGATTGTTGGAAAAGAAAATAAGAAATATGGCCGTGTCGTGTTGATTTAAAGAGTGAAATATTGTGCTAAGTCGGGTTTATATCGGGAGGAAGACCGTGATCATTGTGGTTTTCATGTTACATCTAAGGATATCATATCAGTGAGAGTTCTAGTTAGACACATGAAGGAGATCCCCTTGAATTTATAGATTAATTGGGTATACTTGTGTGTGAAATATGTTCTATTATTTGCCTGAATCTCTGTGGAAAATATAGTTTTGATCCTAAACATCTACATCCACATCAAATGAGAAATGGCATTGGTGCTTTAATGTTTACTCAACATCTACATCTAGTACTTACTGCTGAAATTTTGTTTACATGATTGAGATTGGAAAACTTTTGGACCTTCCCACAGTGGGGGCTTCCTTTCAAATCCTCTGGCAGCTAAGCTAATGTAATGTTGCTCCTGTGCAGGCTCCATCTTACACTGGTGATCACAGCAGTAGTGTGCTGTTGGATGATGTATGTTTTCCCTTTGATCTTTTATTTTAGTTTTGTTGCGAACTTGCTCACTTGGATATTGACTTTGCCGTGCTTTTTTCAATACTTGTTAGGTGGGCAATTGTATACGTTGCACAGATGAAACCACTTATTGTTCCAATCCTCAGTGAAGGAGAGTGAGGTGAAACATTGAAGAATCTGTTCGTGTAGAATTGGGTCACACATAATTGTTTCAGACTTCCCATTCGGGATTTAGATGTATAATTTTGGAAGAGAGTTGGTCGGAATTTAAGAGACCTGGGATTGGTTGTTGTATTGCCTTCTCCCAATATATTTGTCTGCTTCACCTTCATCCTTAGAAAACAGGGTGATAGAACAGTCTGTATTTTTATTTTTCGGTCGTAGATGGACCAATTTGTATGTATGTAACTCTGCTTTTTTCTTTTTCTTTTTTTATCGATGTGAAATAAAAAGTCGATCGTGAGTGTCTAGCTCATCTCTCATTGGTTTATATATGTGCATGAAAACTATAGATTGTTTGAGGGCAGTGTAAGAACTGGAAGCTTCTTCTCTCGAATGGTGGTGTGAAAAAGAATTGGGCTAGCTACCTTCCCTCTCGCCTTTCCTATTCAGTCCGTGACACGTGTATTTTACACACATAATGTTACAAGGAAACAAGTGTATTTTACACACATAATGTTGAAAGAAGGAATTCGGGGTGTTGGTTTTATTATACGTGATTCTGATGGTAACCTTGAGGGAGCCTTTGCGATGCGGGCGCCTGGTATGGTCTCCATCCTTGCGACAGTGTTATACGCGTTGAAGGCTGGCCTTCTTTTTGCGATTGATGCCTCCTTTACACCTCTGATAGTTGAATCCGATTGTCTGAATGCTGTAAACATGATCAATGGTGAAGATGTCTGCTTTGCTACCGGGGGGGGG